TATAAGAGACAGCCCCCCAAATGACCCCGAAGCGCCGACGCCTCGGCGGAAAACCTGGGGATGCATGGGTATATGTCTCCGCCCCCCCCCCCAAAATGACCCCGATTTTCGATCAGTAGGCCTTTTTGTCTTGAATTTTTTTTCGCACAGACCCTTGCCGGTTCCCAAACGCTAATCGATCTCGAGGTACGGCAGTGCTCCCGGTGGCGTCGCAAGTATCTTACAACTATAGGGACTACAACTATAGGGCCGAATCTACGTATGTCTGCAGTTTTCTGTGGTACACCCACGTGCGCCGCGGTGCACTCTTCTTGTACGCGCGTATGACAGGACAAGAAACCGGAAGATACAGCTCCGGCTACTTGCCTTGCATAAACGCTGAAGTTCTTGGTCAGATCGGGGACTGGCCTTTCTGCATTGTGTTGAAACTACTCCGACTTGGAACGTCTCAAGGACTGTCTTGGTGGTGGAATGAGTAGGTGTAGAACATTCCTCGCAGCTTCTCGAGGATCTGGGGGTGACCAAAAGGCAACGGGCGCGCAAGAGAGCATAGCAGAGAGGGGGTCTTTGTCCGAGTGGCGCTAGGCAGAACGCGGTTTTCTAAATCGAATGTCGCAACAACAACCGTCCAAGTCGGCTGACCACGGCAGGTGTCAACTGTACCTTGATAGCCCCTACGCTCGCGAACGTCAGCGCCACCGCGGGAAGCATGGCCCTTGCTGTCACGGTGTTTATGACCCTGGCCGACGGCGATCCCGCCGCCGCCGCGGTGCCTACAGCGCGCGCCCCTCGTAGTACGGCCTGCATTGCATAGATCGTATTGGATTGCCGTCACACGGTTTCGTTATGAGGGAAAGGTCGTGCACCAGTTATCGCACGAGGGGCAAACGAGCGAAAAGGGGATTAGGGGAAGATAAGCACCAATGAAGATGTGAAGTGATGCAGCACACTGTACGTGCGTGATTACATGTCATTGCACGGCATGTAAGCACGCGGTGGGCTCGGGGATTAACACGCGTTCACCATAAAGAGCCCGCCTCGTGCTCCATTACCCCAAATCCCCGAGCTCGTGCGGATAAGCTTTTATCTAAACGATCACGGGGGACCTCACAAAGAGCAGGCTCTGTGCCACGGGGATACGCCATGTACCTTTTTGGCGACAAACAGCTCTCTCGGCTCGAAGTGCGGATGACGCGTCCACCGAGGTGGAGTCAAGGTCGGGACATGTGACGGCTTTACACAAAACACACTAGGAGCTCGTTGTTCTTACGTTTGTGGCTAGGAAGACAAGTAGGAAGGAACAAGTACAGAAGAACAAACTCGGCCATGCCAAGAAGTACCAACATCTGCAGAGCGGGCTCTTCTTTCCGAATGATCCCGTCGTTCGTTCAAAAATTGCATACGTCCTCGCCTAACGAAACACAAAATGGAAGGTGAATGGAGAACCAAGAATAGTTCTGTGATTCGTGCATATTAACCTACGTTTGTGGCTAGGAAGACGAGTAGGAAGAAACAAGCACAGAAGAACAAACTCGGCCATGCCAAGAAGTACCAACATCTGCAGAGCGGGCTCTTCTTTCCGAATGATCCCGTCGTTCGTTTAAAAATTGCATACGTCCTCGCCGAACGAAACACAAAAACAACGGCGAACCAAGGATAGTACTTTGATTCGTGCATATTAACCGCTACCAGGTTGACGATGAAGACGAGAGACATGTCCATGAGGACGAGCATCTCCGTGGACAAAAATAAAGATACGTCCCGTTATGGCAGCACTCGGCTGGACGGGATATCTCACCCCTACTACCCCAAGCCCGCGTAGACATGTTGCTCACCCAGGTGAAGGAGATGACGGCTGCCGTCTTGGCTGTTGTTAGCATCTTCTTAACATTCTTGAGCGCCCCCTGACAGCTAGTGCAGCTCTTGGTGTGGTTCTGCTTGTTCACGCACGCCGTTCGTGCCCAGGCGGAGCGGTCGCCACCACGGTTTGCAACAATACCAGGTCGAGATACACAAGCGTACGACAGAAAACGATGGCAGACGGGAAATGAGGTTCGGATCGGGACAATCCATGACACTGCAGACAAGAAATCCGAACAGAACTCCATTCAAGTTGCAACAAACGACGGCGCGACCTGTCTGCGTCGGACACATCCCGTCAAGGAGAGATGCCAACAGCACGAGGTTAGGGAAAATTGTTGTTGAGGAGTCGTGAACTCGATCGTTGTGAGGGGAAGTGGCGCGGGCCATCCCATGACGTACATAGAAAAAAGATGCGGCTTAGGGTTGCGTCACCTCGTACACGTTGAAGAGGTCTTCGCGGTTGCGCTCGCGCGGGGGCAAGGTGCGGTCGCAGTTCTTGTCCCAGGCGGGGCCCCCGGACCCGTGCTTGGTGATCCATTGTCTCCTTGAGGTGTTCCAAGGTGGGTGACGAAGAAGATAGTTTGGCGGCCCACGACAACACATTTGCCGCAACGATGAGCACAACAGTAGAATTGGGGCGTCAGCCGCTCGTCGGGTAGGCCCACCGAGAAGCGAGACTGAAAAACAAGGCAATATTCGTCTTGGCCCGCACTTCAATACTACAATTGTGCTGGCTGAAACCCCAATTTTCAATTGGGGAAGGGGTAAATCGTACATAACCGAGGACAAGAGATGAAGCAGATGCAATCCGCCATTCGAGAACCCAATGACCTACACGGCCATGAACGCTTAGCACAGACCGTCCGCCCAGGGTGCGCTCTCGTGGCAATGGCCGCACACCCCTCGAAAAATCTAAGTGCTCTCTCACAGGGCCAGGACGGCACGGTCGGCAGCCGCAGGAACGAAGACTGCTTGGCCATAGTTGGAGCTGTCGTACCCAGCAGAGGCCAAAATTTTCTCCTGCGCAAAACGGAAATGCGAGAGAAACCCGAGCAGGTGCCGCGCGTACGGCATGTTCCAAGCAAGGAGAAGTGCAATTTTGCCCCACCTCAGGCTCATCAATACATTGTTGACCATGCTGTACTTCTGCTTTCCACAGGATGCGTCTATTAGCCCTACGACGCGTCCAAAATGTATTTCAGGAGAAAATGTATTCAATGCAAACGCGTGTGAGACGGCACGGAAGGAGTACACCAATCGAAAGCTACACTCACCGCTGTGCAGAGAAGGTTGGCCACTCAGAAGGTGAGACAAACAAATAAACGGGACACAACCAACAGACGGATCTTTGTACTCCAGAAAAGAGGCAACAGACAGGAAGCTGGTATTCACTCCATGAAAATCAATGTACTTCTAAGTATCATTCGTGTCACGTGCGCACCAACTGCCTACCTGGTGGTGAAGGAAAACTAAGTCTTGGTGCAGAAACAGGCTGCCAGTGACGTGTTGCAACCAGGATGGCAGCTTCGTCACAACACTTCACCATGTCGCCATGGTGTGAAAAAAACGACGGAGGGACAAGGAGAGTAAATGGTCTATTTAATGATTGGTCTATTCTACGTCGACGAAGGACTTGGAGAAGTCGATCTGCCGGCGGGAGATACGCCCGACGAGCACGCACATAGGTAACACATCTGGAAGTGCTCCACACTTTCGAATTGGCTGTGCTGTGGTCTGGCGGTGTTATACTTCAGAGTCCTAGCTAACCTGCGCTCTGGCAATAAATATTTGACTATGCATACAATAGGTATCCCGATATAGTGCCGGTTGAATAGTGCCAAAGTCTGGCATAGTGCCGGTAATTTTCTTGACACAGCCAAGGGCCTCAAAAGCGCCAAACCAGCCCTACTGAGGGCTACCATTATAGTGCCGGTGCAGGTACTGTCGTTGAGGCCGGTTCAGACCACACACACAGCCTTTCTTGGCCTCAAGGCCTACCACACCAGCAGGACTCGGAGACGATTTACCTTCGAGCTAGCTCATTTCCTGTCGGTACGAACTCGTGACGTGTTCAAGCGTCATGGTTCACTGATCAACCAAATTCCACCACAGCCAATCAGCCGACAGTTTGGGATTTCAGGAGTAGTAGGGCGAGGAGGATGGCGGCAGTGACGAAGGAGGTGGAAAGAGAAGAATAGAGAAGGAAAGCAGTGATGATTGAGGAGGAAAATGTGGCATTGAAGGGAGCAAGAGCTTCGAGCCAGATAACATTCCTCGCCAAAAGCGCCGCAGGATGGAGATGAACGCCCAAAGTGGAAACGTTAGTGAAGAGAGGAAGGGTGGAAAATACAAGAAAAACGATGAAAGCACTCCGAAACGAACGTGTATGCAAAGTGGCAACCTTGATAAACACGTGCAGTATTCTGCTCTTGCTACCGTTTTTCTGTCGTAAATCTGGAAAATTGCGTAGCCTCCCTCATAGCACCCCCTCACGGGGTCTCAGATCGTGGCTTGATGAACGTTTTATCTTCTGTTTCTTAAACCGCACTGAGACGGAAGTATCTTCCTTGGTCAGCCGGTTTGCGCGGTCGATGGTAAGACACACAGAGAGAGACACAGATGCCATATACACGCCTCACCCCACCGGTAACGGTGCACGTGCTGCTGCTGAAGACTCTGTGCTACCCAGCCCTACGCAGACGGCCAGGGCGTACATCAGCACAGCTGCAGCGGTTTTCATGGCGCTTGTTTTAGCGGTCGCCTTTCTTGCTTCTGGGGGATTGCTTTATTTTCACTCGTTTGGGTTGCATAATATTGTGTTTTGTTTATTGATGGAGGTCTACGTCCATGTCGGACTCCAACTGTCCGTGCATCGGGTACGTGCATGAGCGTCCTTCTTTCGCTGTTGACGGGTGCCTTTGAGGTTGCCTGAATAGTGCTACGGCCTTCTTGCCACTACACCATTTATTAGCGAGGTAAAGTTTCAATAGGCAGCACGGTAAGGCAACGGTTCACTAACTTAATGCGTGCCCTGAGGTGGGAAGGGAACAACGGTGCCACAAGTAACGCATCTGGCCAAGCAAGCAATGATGTGCCCACTGCATGATTTCGACAGGCGAGGACCCTCACAAAACTCAAAGAAGTCCGCCCACGCCGCCCACCTCACAATTGATCCATACACCGTACGTTTGGCGCTCTGTCAGCCCCGCAAGCAAGGGGTTGCACTCTGAAATCGATAACTTGTCAATAGTGCCTAAGATTGAGGGATTTTAAAACCCTGAACCGTGCCGCCTTGGAACTATTCACGCAAATACTCTGAATAGTTCCGGTGGCCGATGAGTGCGGGTCTAACGTCTGGGCACACACCGGCACTATATCGGGACACCTACAATGTACTGTAGCTGGCTCCCATATTGATGCACACAAAAAATATTCATGCCGCACACACGAGATGTCAACTTACTTCGCGGTAGCTTGCAACCGTGATTTTTTCACCCCGTTTCTCTTGTCCTCCTTGGCCTGCTCCTTAGCCTTTTTTGAATTCGGGGCAAACGTGTGCACATAAGCCTGTCCGCGAAGAACGGAGGAGGAACAGGGGAACGGGCGGATGACAACAGGAAAGGCGTTGTTCTTGTCTGGACGGCGTGGTCTACTGGAGACGGGCACTGCTGTCTTCTGTTTGAGCGCGCGACACACCGATGGGGTGCCGAGTTGGCCGTCGGCGAGGCATTCAGCGACAGGAATGTTGTTTAGGGGTCAAGAGGGGTGAACGTGAGGAGAGACAGATATCGACTTACCGCCAAACCGGCAGGAAAAGTCACGTCTTGTGAGAGACATTTATTCATGAAAGAGCAGGTGGTTCCGTAAGAGAGGTGTTCGCGAAAAGGACCAGGCTCATGTCTCGCTAGAGAGGCTTTCGCCGGGAGACCCATACAAGCTTGACGCATGTATCGAGATGACAAGCATGGGCGCCACATATTCATGGACAAGGCCGCTCCACGCGCACCATACAATCAACGTGCATTCCGAGGCTGATTCACAAACACGAAAGCAAAATATAAATTGTTGTAGGCAGGCATAGAGGACACGAATGTTTGTTGTCGGTACGACAGCAGTACCCTCTCACCGAACGGCCGAGAAGCCGGACCCAGCCGGGTCTAGTGGGTATACCGTATAAGATTAGCAGGAGCTTTCCCGCCGAGTCTTTGGCTTCATTGATAACCTGGTGGCAAAGGATACAAAGCGATTTGGCATGTAGTGCACACAAACGGGGGCGAAATGCCAAAGTGCATATTGAGATGCGCCAACGACATGCGGATGGGAGCACGACAGCATGCCACGCTCCGTCACTCCGGGCACGACGGAGGTGCACATAAAAATGAAGACTCAACGCACGCTTCGTGATTCCGTTTCTCGCCGTTGATCTTTACGCATGTTGGAGGAAAGGGGTGGAATTGGTTTGGCGACAGCTCAATCAATACTATGATTTATGCGTTCAAGCGGGATACATCGAGAAATCGACCGATCAAGACGGGAAGAGAGCTCTATCGGCTGGACGGTAAGGCAGTCGCTCGAAAAACAACCGAAACCCACCAGTACCAAAATTTCAACACACAACGGTGTCCACACACAGAGCTAAGTACGCCTCTCATCTACTTTCCAGTACACTGTGTTCAAAGAAAGACCATCACGTAGCCGAGACTTCTTCTGCGCGACAAAATTTCTCGACCACTCATACAACCTAGCCTGCCACGCCCTATTGCAGGTTGAAACGCCGCAGAGATAGCGTTCATGAAACCAATCTGATCAAGCAATTTCGAGACAGACATGGCGGTTGGCCTTGTCCTCTCATCTCACCAGGCACGGTGGCTGGAAGGTGACCGTGCTGTCCGACGACACCGAGTCGTCGCGAAACTCGAACTCAAATCCATCCTGGGCCCGGCACGTGTGGACGACGTTCAGCGTGACACGTATACATAGGTGGGGATGGGTGAGTGGGGTGGGTGGGTGCGCAAAGAGGTCATCACGAGTGAATACAACCTGCGAACTGTAGGGATGAAGCGGGAGAAGGCAGCAAGTACCAAGGAATTGGGTAGGCTCCACACACGCACCGGCGGGGGAGGTAAGAGTGAATGGAGCATCAGCTAGGAAAGGGAAAATACGGTTACTGAATTGGGCAACGGTGTCGGGAACAGAACAACCCCTCCGCTGGCGCGAGCATATTTCTGCTTTCGTTCTCGAACCGGATCGGGTATCTGAACTACCAGCACGCGTCACCAGCCAGCGCACACATGCACCCCAGACGATTGTTTCAGGCTCAACCTGACAACGTCCGCTTGCTCAGGATAGCGAAAAAGATGAAAACCTCGAAAAGGGTGCACCACCTACGTAGTTGCGACCACGGCCCCGTGCCGCGATCACACTTGCCTGCAGCGACACTATCGTGGGCATAATCAACAGGAGGAACACTTGTGCGGGAAAATCTTGTCTCTGATGGCAGAAATTTGAAAACCGTCTGAGAACTCTCGCAGGATCTAGTTCGAGGTGGGAGTCTGTCAAACAGAGAATCAGAGAGAAATGAAAAAATACACGACAGATACCGTGGGGTTTCCGACAATTCTGACTCTCGCAAACAGTGAATTGCCAGAGAAGTACGCGGTCATTCCAGCGGAGTTTGGCTCCGCGGATGGATGGCAAGGTGCTTGTACAAGAAGCATCGGTGACGGAATTGTACGAATGCATTCACGCGGACCAAGAATGGGTACAGGCTACCTGCTTGGGATGAATGCACGGCCAGATCGCTTCATAACTTCCGTTCAACATGACCCTCCAAAAATTGTGGACGCAACTCGTACTTGACAGACGCACTCAAAACAATCTCGCATGCCTTTGGTAGGTGCCAGTGAGGGGAAGTAGCTTTCCACCGCGTGTTGTTGTTTCTCAGCCGATGCTGCGAAAGAATTGAGCACGAACTCAAGATCAGCTGAACCGACCTTCGTGGGCACTGGCCATCGTGCAGAAGGCTTCAAGTCGATCGGCGAGGGCCCCGTGTAGCGATCACCAGCGACACCTGCGGTCACCAGGCAATTTCCAGGGGCAACTAAAAAAAAAATGATCACAAAAAACAACCAGAACCACAACGGCAGTAGCAACAGCAGCAGCAGATGCATGGCACCAACATGGAAAAACGAAATACACACGTGAACAGACAACCTTTCGAGATGAACAGTGGATTGTAGACAGATACATAAACATGTGTTTGTATTCTAGTATATTTCTTCACAGGCCCAACGTCATTGACACGTGCAACTTTGCTTTGACAACACCATCACACACACGACCTGATGCGAAACGCACCGTGGTGGGACACCGTGACGTGTGACGGGTCAACAACGTTCTCCATGAACGTGTCCCAGCCGTACGCCAGGTCGTTTTGCCCGACACGGGCAAGCATTACTCTGCCGGACTCGATTCCTTCCTTATCGTCCAGGTCGGGAATCAGCTGCGCGGGAGTGAGCGCGCTCTCCAGGCCCGCGTCCGGTCCATTCTCTCCCCACACCCATACCATCCCCTGAGCCACCTGACACGAGATGCACGTGGGTTTCATTTTCAGGCGGGGAAGGGGAGCGCGTGAACAGGGAGCCACAGGGGAATGGGGGCTATTTAGTGTGCGCGCCGCCCCCCGAAAGAGGCAGGTACCGAAACCGAAGAGCGCAAGGAAATTTCCCAACAAGCCGCCGGCGGCGAACATCGCACATGTACGCCGACATTTTCTCATAACCCGGGAAAGTATCTACACCGCAAAATTAGAGTACTTGCTGAGCGTGGCAAGATAGATTGCTTATTTGAGGAACAAGGTCGCTGTTGTACTCTTTGTCACGCAGCGCTATAGGTCGTGATTCTGAGTTGGGTACACGAATCTGGGAATCGCTTCTCGCCTATGAGGAAGACACCAGCAGTTGTAGCCTTGTTTTCCCTTGGAATGTCAAGCACAGGGTCATTGTTGGTTAGAAGGCATGACAGCAGCGGCAAACATATTGAACCATGTGGTCCGTTTCGAAGGCGAGGCACGGATGGTACGAGACGAGCGCAAGAACAATTTTGGTGCGAAATTGCATCAAGTGCTACGCAGCTCAGATTCAGAGAATATTATGCTTGTCTGTGCCCGCTATTCGGCTGTGTGGTGACTGCAGGGGTACGGGGCGACGGTGGTAGCAGAAAAATGAGTCAAAACTCGCCTGTGTTGGGTAAACCTTGGCGCATGCCTTAGGCTGGGCCTCGTCCTTGCCTCCCCTGTCGCTCTGAGGGATGCTCAGGCACTTGCCATCGGCGTCGAAACGCCACGCATGGTACGCACAACTAGATCCAGTGGGATGGCGGGTGGCACGAGTTTGGCGAACGAAGGGCGTACGAAACAGGGGGCTGATCGAAACTTGCCACTGTCGGATGCAACCATGGGCGAGGCTGTGTCTTGTGCAACTTGCTGGTACTAGGCCAACGACCGCGCGATTGTGAACACGGAGTCCTGTACATCTCTACCGTAGGCAAGCGACAGCAAAACCGACTTGGGGTGGGAGGGAAACAGAGGTAGCATCGAAGGGTTTCTCACAAATCCTTAAAACATACGGACGCTGGCTGATAATATTTTTCAAGGGTGAGTTCTGTGAGGTACGTACCGAGGCATACCTCCGGTATAATCGCTGTTACGTACCCTGCCGAGGCCCGGTACGATCTGTACAGGCTTCCATACCTTACCGAAAACCTCGGTACGCTTCGGTACGTTTTCCATACCCTACCGAGTACACCTACACACAAAAAAGGTTGGTGCGTTCGAGGGTACGTACCAAGGTATACCACCGGGAAATACCTGCGGGATATGCCCTACGGAGCTTCTCGGTATGCTTGGGTATAGGCTTCACAACCTACCGAAATTCTCGGTACCCTTCGGTACAGGCTTCCGTACCATACTGAAATCTAGGTACACTTCGGTAAGTTTGTCATATCCTACCCAGGGTACCCGCACCCTACCGGACACAACCTTTGATACCTTCACTGTCATAGCGGAGGATTTTCGACTCACAGGAGAGAGCCGTCGTCCTCTATTCTGCCCTCGGTGAGTGGCGCCGCTCTGTGAGGGCAACGGTCGTCGAAGCACGACCAGCGACCCTCCTTGTTCCGCCACACCACCAACTCTTTGCCAAGCAGCTGTAGCCGCAGTGGCAGCAATTGTTGAGCGTTTGCACACGTGAAAAGGGGAAAGGGACTGGAGAGGCTCGAAGGTAGCGTTTGAGGATTTGTGATTCTATGCCCGATCTCTGGTATCGCCTGCAAACCTACGGTGCGATTGCTCTACGTCGGTCTGTGGCAAGCGAGACAACAGCTGAAGCGTCGCGGTGACGGAGGAGCTCCGTTCACATCGTGCTTTAGATACCCGTGAAACGAGACGAAAGAAAACCGTAGGTGTCGTTTATTCGGCAGTCACCGCCCTCGCCAAGGGCACCTCCGGACTAAAGTCAACTTTCCCACAGATCGCCGGAAAATCGTCGTGAACAGCTCAAAACTTAAACCTTTTCACACGGCCGTCAACTGGCCTACTCGCTGTTGAAGGAGAGCCTGAAGCACTGGCTTGCTTGCACTGGAGAAAAAGTGTCAGCGGAGGGTGGCTTACCTGAACAGGGTGCGCCCTACCGGGGTCTGTGTCCTTGAGCGAAAGCACAGGATACCACTGCAATATTTTCCGGGGGGAGAGGGTTGTCAGTATGTTGAAGTCCGCATGGGAAAGGTCCCTTCTCGTTCACGATATTTTCCACGCGCAGACAGGATCCGAAGCGTCGGTGTGCCTTTCGGTACACCACTCGAAAACAATGGTCGAAGATAAAAAAAAAAAAGAGGGCGAGTCCGGGACGCGACTGCACACATGTAGCTGCCGATTCCTGTCTGCGTCTGGCGAGGAGCGGTCGATGCAGACGACTATCGAAAACGTAAAGACCGTTTGTTATCGCGCATTGCGACAATCTTTAGGCTTCATCGAACGGCGCAGCTGGAACGGTCAGCGATGATCCCCAACTTTTTTACGAAAATAGCAACAGCGATGTGCCATGGGTCGTCCCACGCAGACCAATGGGAAGTATCAGGTAACCCGCCATTTACCTTTCCCCGCAGTTTCTTGTGATCGTCGGCCATGGGTTCGTCAATGTCAAGCATGGAGGATGACGAATGTTACGTGCGACCCGAAGTATGATCGTGGTAGTTGGTTCGCGTGCCATCAAGGAACGGAAAGGTTCAGGCCTTTTCCATTGGACCGGAAAATTGCAGCAGATCGCATATATTCCGTTCGTCTATTTAGAACGCAAGGTCATGTCAAAAACGTTATTCCACGACCCAATATATGTACCCCCCGGGAGGGCCCATTGAAAGAAACACAATTTATTTCCCTCAGTTTTTCTCTAGTTGTTTTTGACCATATGCATAGTGTAGTGCACATTGAACCTGTTTTACCTGTTTGTGCAGTGAAACACCAGCATGGGCCTTAAATGCCTGCGCCAAGAACCCGTTGCTGGTGGAGAAACCACATTACAGTCGTCCACATCATCCACACGTCCCACCCATCCTCAAACCAATCTTCAGCGAAATGCATCTTAGCCTGGGCTACCGGTGATAATCCGGCATAACCCTCCGTCCCGCCGTCCCGGCATTGCAGGGATGCGAGGTCTATGGTCTATCGGATTAGGGCCTGCGTCTACACCCCCCCCTCTGAGGGTGCGCTGATCATGTTCTCCATCTCGTCGTCTAGGTGGTATGCAGTACAGTAGTGTACGTCGTTCATGCACGGCGAGCACCCACGAGCCCGCGAGCGCACATGGCTAGGTGGCACGCAGATGCACAATACCTCCTACATGACAGGGCCCCGCTTGATATATTGGAGCTAGTACGGTATGGTTGACACAGGATTTTTTAGGGGCGGGGGTGGTCACTTCGTACCTTCCCTCCCCCCAAAACTCTCTCAAAAACAAGAAATGAGTACCAAAGTCAATGGTGGACCGAGTACAACCACCACATTCTTCGACACCTACGTAGGTACCCAATGTCTTGTTTTGGAGAATTTCGGGAGGGGGAGGGTACGAAGTGACTAGCCTCTTCCTCCCAAAGGCCAAAAAATATCCTATGTAGAAAGATGGCATGTTAAGAAACACCTTGAACTATAGCGGGTTGTCGTGCATATGCGTGCCCCCTAGCCAAATGCGCTCGCCGCGCCTGCACGCTGTACACTTCTGCGTACCGCACGTAGACCTAGGCGACGAGAGGGAGAGCATGATCAGCGCACCCTCAGGGACGGGTGTAGGCCTAGCCCAGGTTGTTGCGGCCCAGCCCAGGCTATTGCGGCCCAGACTAGTCAAGCATGTTATCGCCGCGCAGTGCAAGTAGCCTCGGAGTTCAGCGAAGAGGGGGAGAGGGCAATGAGGAAGCGGGAGGACGGGTACGGTGGAGAAAGACGAGAGGAACGAAACGAAGAGGAGGAAGAGGAGAAGGACGTGGAGCTGGACGTAAGAGCGAGGGAGCGTCCATGGACCCCGAAACGGCGTTCTTTGGGGTTGGCGTAGTTTTCCGTGCGAGAATGTGCCGGAAAATTGTAGAAGCAGCGGTAGGCGACCGGGACACTGTCAGCACAATCCTGAGCTCTACATGATACACAAACTCTGTGGTTTCCGTCGAGTTGGGGGCTCTTTGTTCACGCGCGTAGAGGGGTGATGCTACATATTACTCCGGGCTTTTGCTTTCGCCGAAAATTGGTTCCAGGATGTAGGTGTGGGCGATGTGGATGATGATCGTCGGGAGGTTTTCCACCAGCAACACATTTTTTAACGCAGGCATGTTAGTGCATCACAGCGTTACATCGGTGTACAACAGGTTTGACATGCACTGGTGAATGCATTCGATGCCAAGGAATGAGGCAATAGCATGGTGGGAAAAAAACAATCCTGCCATTAGGCCCCCTGGGGAGGGGTACCCAGGTGTGCGGGATAACTATATTCGTACACCTTTGGTCCTATGTAGGGGACATTTCATACAATCTCCCATACTACTGGGACTTTTATTGAACTGCCCATGATCGCTTCAAGGACTGCCCATGGAGTGCCCGTGAACTGCCCACGAAGTGCCCACCGTGGGCATTTCAACCTAGAACTTCGCCACCGGCATATCAGCCTAGAACTTGGCCACTGGCACATCAACCTTGAACTTAGCCACCCAGCGCCAACCTACACGTAGCATGTAACGTGTGGGCTTGGGGTGAAGGTTAGGATTAGGGTTAGGGTAAGGGTTAGGGGTTTCTGCCGTAATAATGCTCATTCCACAGCAGATAATTAATGTATCCATAAAACAAAACTTCGTAGTCCGTAGTAGTTGCTGTGATCCCTTTTCAAAAATGCACTGTGATTTGTTTCAGCCTCCGGTGCTTTCGCTAGGAGGGAGACCAAGGCACACACGATTGTGCGCGCCGTGTCTCGCGCCCAGGGCGACCGCGACCGTGGCGCAGTGGCGCAGTGAGCGCAAGAAGGTGGCGGTGCAACCGGCTGCGGTACGCAAAAAAGAGCTCAAATCGGTTTTGGGGTGCTGCTGGTGTGCTGAGTGGTCTATTTTGAACAACCTCACGGCTACGATTCCAGTGCCTTCCTTTCGCGCAAAGGGAGACCGAGGTCCAAAAGGTGCTGCACGCCGCTTCTCGCGCCAAGCGCGGCCGCGGCCGGCGCAATCGGCTGCGGCACACCAAACAAAGGTCAAATCGGTTATTGCGGAGTGCTGCTGTGTTGATGTGTGGTCTGTTTTCGAACATCCTCACGGCTACGATTCCAGTGTTTTCCTTTCGCGATGAGGGAAACCGGCGCACAAAAGGTGTTGCGTGCCGCTTCTCGCGCCCAGCGTGGCACAGCAGTCAGGGGATGGTTTGCAGAAAACTGCTGTGTAGGGGGCACACAACAATACGAAATGAAATCCATCCACGTATCCATTGCAGCTAGCAATTGACAAAAAAGTGCGAAATACGGCTTGTACCTACCTCTGTCTGTACCTGTCTAACACTCTGTAGCTTGCAGTTCACGCTGCTAGCTATTACTGTGCTGGAGTGGTTGCCAACCAGAGCATCATCCAGCAGCAGCAGCAGAAGCAGCAGCAGCAACAGCAGCAGACCCATGAGGCCGCGTTGGCTCTATCACAAGAGTTCATGTTTTGGAACTGAAAAAGATTCGGCGGAAAGGTCCTGTGCAGGCAATTGATGCAGGAGAAACGAGAGATGTCCGTTCTCTCGGTGTGTGTACCTATACACAGCACATGCCTCCCACAAACAAACAGGATACTGCCTGCTGTAGGTGGCATGAAGAGAAGATATCGTACAGCAGTAACAACAACAACAGCAGCCCCGGCTAGGAAAACAGGGAAAAAGTTGAGGATGGATGTGCCCTTCACCGTGTTGAAAAGTAATTCGAAAAGAAAGGCATGATCCGATGTAGTATTATATGTTTGTAGTAGATATGCATAGATGATTCGTTCTTGCGTGTCTAGCATCAACTGGCTAATCTATGTTGATAGATCTCGGCTCCTCCCTCTGGATGCAGCACACGTCTCGCGCATCGTTGATAGCTAGATTGAACATTCAGCAGTAACAAGAACGAATGGCAGACAGACCTGGTGAGGTTACCCTTTAGCTTCAACTTCACAGAAGAAGAGTCGAGGATGCGGTGTTCTTGCCGTGAAAACAGAAGAAAATTTCATCGGGAAGAAAGGCCTATCGATTCGCTTGGCATTCTTTTCACATCAATATAATCTTCATCCCGTCGCTGCCGTCGCGCTGTCGGTCTGTCGATCGAGTTGGGTTGTGTTTCGTTGTGTTGGGTTGGGCAGGGTGGGAAAGGAAGGGTTGGGTTTGGTCGGCCGGTTGGTCGGGGTGTGTTTGGGGGTCGGGTCGAGTTGGGTTGGGTTGGGTTAGGGATAGAGTAGGTTGGGTAGGTTGGTCGATCGGTCGGCCGGTCGGTCGGTCGGTCGGGTTGGGGATGGGTTTCGTTTTGAGTTGGTTACATTAGGTTGGTAGCGTAGGGTAGGGTAAAGTCGGGTCTGGTCGGTCGGTCGGTCCGTCGGTTGGTCGGGTTGTGTTCTGGGGTCGAGCTGTGTTTGGTTTTGGGTGGGTTGGGTTGAGTTGGGTAGGGTAGGGTAGAAGGTAGGGTGGGTTTGGTCGGTCGGTTGTTTGGGTTGTGTTTTGGGGCCGAGTAGGGGTGGGTTGGGGGTAGGGTGGGTTGGCTCGGTCGGTCGGTCGGTCGGTCGGTTGAGTTGGGGTTGGGTTTGACTTGGGATGGGTCGGGTTAGGGTAAGGCAGCGTAGCGTAGGGTAGGGTTGGGTCGGTCGGGGGCTGGGCTGGGGGTAGGGTGTGTTTGGTCGGTCGGTTGTTTGGGTTGTGTTCTGGGGTCGAGCTGTGTTTGGTTTTGGGTGGGTTGGGTTGGGTTGGGTTGGGTTGGGTTGGGTTGAGTAGGGCAGGGTAGAAAGTAGGGTGGGTTTGGTCGGTCGGTTGTTTGGGTTGTGTTTTGGGGCCGAGTAGGGTTGGGTTGGGGGTAGGGTGGGTTGGCTCGGTCGGTCGGTCGGTCGGTCGGTTGAGTTGGGGTTGGGTTTGACTTGGGATGGGTCGGGTTAGGGTAAGGCAGCGTAGCGTAGGGTAGGGTTGGGTCGGTCGGGGGCTGGGCTGGGGGTAGGGTGTGTTTGGTCGGTCGGTTGTTAGGGTTGTGTTTTGGGGTCGGGTTGGGTTGTCGGGTAGGGTAGGGTAGGGTCGGTCGGGGGTTGGGTGGGCTTGGTCGGTCGGTGGTTCGGGTTTTGTTATGGGGTCGGGTCGGGTTGGGTTGGGGGTAGGGTGAGGGTTTAGTTGGTCGGTCGGTCGGTCGGTCGGATTTGGGATGGATTGTTTTTGGGTTGGACTGGATTGTGTAGGGTGGGGTAGCGTAGGGTAGGGTCGGATCGGCCGGTCGGTCGGTCCATCGGGTTATGTTTTGTGGTCGGGTTGGGGTGGGTAGGGTAGAAGGCAGGGTAGGTTTGGTCGGTCGGTTGGGAGGGTTGTGTTTTGGTGTCGGATTGGGCTGGGTTGGTGGTAGGGTGGGTTGGGTCGGTCGGTCGGTCGGTCGGTCGGGTTGGGGTTGGGTTGGGTTTTGGGTTGGGATGGGTATACGTAGGGTTGGGTAGGGTGGGTTTGCTCGGTCGGTTGGTAGGTTTGCGTATTGGGGTTGGGTTGTGTAGGGTATAGGGTAGGGTAGAGTAGGGTTGATTTGGGTCTGCCGGTCAGTCGTCGGTCGGTTGGTTGGTCGATTGGACGGCCTGGTTCGTACGGACTTACTTCTTCGTGTCGCTCGGCTCCTGTGCGTCACTTTTTTCTCTATCTACTACATGTTTGTGGCGGAGTGTATTTGCGCGTTGGTGTGTGGTTCGTTAGAAGAGGTGTTGATTGGGGCGTGTTGGTTACAAGTGCCGCCTTTTGCAACCGATTCACCTTGTATCAGGCGGATATTGAGGGTTGGTTCTTGCTCTGGTGTTGATGGGTTCGTCTCTGCCCCACCGACCGTGCCCGGTTTGGGGTTGAATAAATTGGGTTGGGTCGGGTTGGATTGGGTCAGGTTGGGCTGGGTTCGGTTGGGGGGTTGGCTCGGGTTGGCTCGAGTTGGGGATGGCTTGGGATTGGGTCGCCGCCGTCGATCGCGCCGCCGCCGCTTGGTCGTTCGTCGCCGTTCGGTTGGGTTGGGTTGGGTTGGGTTGGGTAGGGTTGGGTAGGGTTCGGTAGGGTTCGGTAGGGTCGGGTAGGGTTGGGTTGGGTCGGCCGGTCGGCCGGTTGGTCGGTCGATCGGGCGGCCTAGGGCCACCTTCGTCGATCGCGCCGCCGTCGCTCAGTCGATCGTCGCCGTCGATCGCCCTTGTTTTTGTCTAGGAGTACACTGGTTGCGGTTGAGGAGCTCTCATTGGCCGCCCATGCGCTGCCCATGAACTGCCCACGAAGTAGTGTGAGAGCCCACAGGGAGTTTTAAACAAAATAACAGGCAGCAGTGTCGTTCACGGATGCGGCGTAGCTTCGCTGTTCGACAAAGAAGTAGCGTCCCGCGATTCTCCCAGTCAATACCCTCATACTCCTCTTGTGTACATAGCACGTCACGCTAGACCGTAGCGCCTTCTGAATACCCCGGCACCCCCCTTGTCGAGGAGGTCAAAGGTGGAAAAAGATATTTTTCGCGAGCTAAACAGGAGAACAAGAATGGGGACAAACCGGCGTGGGTAACAGTCCGAGAGTCGATCTACAGCAGTAGAAGCCCAGAAGACAAAAACTGCGGCGAAACTTCGTCATCGTCGCTTGTGCCAAGGCCGATGGTGAGTGATTCTACAGCTGCTGTAGTTGAACGTGGTGCGTTGGCTCAGTGGGGCCCAGATCCTCAACACAGCAGTAGTATGGATGTCGATGATTCCTCTTCGTTGCCTTGCTCACCCTCGACGGAGAGCTCACCTCTGCCGGAGTGCGTACACCGCCTCCTCCGTTCAGGCTCTGCATAACGGCAACCGGCAACAACACTGACAATACTGACTTGCAGCAACAACCGACAAACCTTGTTCAGGTAAACCTAACAGCAGTAGCTCGGCGCAAGCATTGAATTCAGGTCGGGCACACCTGTTTGTTCCAGTCGAAGAGGTCCTCCTTGCCTGCTGGCGAGGCTGCGACAACACCGGGCGACGAGTCAGAGTCAACTGCTGACAACCCCCTTGCTGCGGAAGGAACCACCCTGCGGGGAGCGCCACTGCTGGCGGGTAGGTGGAAGCCACTAGCAACACTCAAGCCAGCAGCCAGGAGACGAGCGCACCGGCCAACCATGATATATATCAAGTGCAACTGTACTGTACAACCCGTAGGGCGACACCACAGGTGTGTGTGCTTGCGTTGTCGACATGTCGACACATTCCGACACATGCACCAATTTCCGCCGCATTTGGAGCTGCAGCGCTCTTTTTTTTTTTTTTTTTTTCCAAATACAACACAACGAGTCCATCTCCGTCAGAGAAAAGAGTCAAAGACAGATTAGCAATGGAATCATAGCGTCAAAGAAAACTACCTGTTGTGTGTCCACGATTTCCCAGACAGCATATATGGACATCTCCCCTGCGGATAACAGGCTCAACAAGACAGTTTGGTAGCTGTGTTGTGTGTCTTATATATGTTATGTTGGGAAGGTGTAGACGAAAAGTGTTGGGCTGTTAGTTAGTCGGGTGTTTTATGTGTGGCACCCTGTTGGTTGTGGATCTTCATCCATTTTACACGTGTATTTCCAGTTTGGTATGCATTTAACGCGAGGAATATGATTTGATTTTCTTAATATCACAAAACAAATCCATCTCTATCTATAGAAATACGTCAAAGATAGAGTAGCAATGAATCCATAGCGAGAGCGAAAGGCTACCTGTATGTCTACGGTTTCCCAGACAGCATACAACGATAACTCCCCTGTGGGTAACAGGCTCAACAAGGAAGTTTGGTAGCCATCTTGTGTATCAATCTGTATGTTATGTTGGGAAGTTGTAGACGGAAGATTTAGGGGAACTCGGTTTGTCGGGTGTTCTATTATGGCACCCTTACGTGGTTGCGGAGCAAGCGCGTTTCGGGTTGTTTGTTGTTGTTGTTGTTGTTTCTCACATTAGCTCTAAAAAAGAAAGATTGGGAG